CTTCTCATGTGAATATCTCTGGTGTTAGTGGTCCTCAGCCCTGTCAGAATAAATATTTTCTTTTTATAGCAAATACGTTAATATTCCTTTACTATCCTGAAATAAAGTTCACAGGGAATATCCTATCTGTACATTTACTTTTTTCTCTTTTGTAGAAATCTGTCCATGTTAATATTTTGATGTATTTTTCCAGTTTTTTTCCCCTATACATAGGTTTCAAAAGTATTTTAAAATAATCATAGAGAGGGGTACCCGGCTGGCTCAGTCAGAAGAGCATGTGAATCTTAATCGCAGGGTCATGAGTTCAAGGCCCATGTTGGATGTAGAGATTACTTAAATAAATAAACTTTTAAAAATGTGAATGTTTTTTATTTTTTTAATTTTATTTATTTATTTATTTTTAAAGATTTTATTTATTTTTCTGAGCGAGAGAATGAGAGAGAGAGAGCACATGAGAGGGGGAGGGTCAGAGGCAGAAGCAGGCTCCCTGCCGAGCCCGATGCGGGACTCGATCCCGGGACTCCAGGATCATGACCTGAGCCGAAGGCAGTCGCTTAACCAACTGAGCCACCCAGGCGCCCGTGAATGTTTTTTAAAAATAAAATAATTGTAGAGATACAATTCTATATACTTTATTTTTACCTTTTTTTTTTTTAGTAGGCTTCACACCAAATGTGGGACTTGAACTCATGACCCTCAGATCAAGAGTCGCATGCTCCACCAACTGAGCCAGCCAGACACTCCTAATTTTAGTTTTTTAAATTGAGGTATAATTAACATATAACATTATACTAGTTTCAGGTATACAACATAATGATTTAATATTTGTGTATATTGTAAAATGATCACCATAATTGCACATTTACTCTTTAAAGAAAGTCAATACCCTAATTAATAGAAAAGAGAAAGTTATTAAAAATAAAATAAAGGCACCTTGGGGCACCTGAGGGCACAGTAGGTTAGGGGTCAGATTCTTGGTATCGGCTCAGGTAAAGATCTCAGGGTCATGAGATCAAGCCCCATGTGGGGCTCTGCCCTGGGCGTGGAACCTGCTTCAGATTCTCTCTCTCTCTCTCTGCCCCTCCTCTGCTCTCTCTCTCTCTGTCTCTCTCAAACAAACAAATAAATCTTAAAAAAAAAATAAGGGTACCTGGCTGACTCAGTTGGAAGGGCATGTGACTCTCAATCTTGGTGTCATGAGTTCGGGCCCCACACTGGTTGCAAAGATTACTTAAATTAAAAAAATCTTTAAATAAATAAAATAACATTATTTGAATATGCAAATGATTCCTCAGAACGACTCTAGAAATCTCAATGAAGAAGCCCATTGCTTGCACCTACACAGACTTACTTTGAATGGGACAGCTACAAATACTAACTGACACAAAGTGTGTTGTTTGAGAACTCAGATACCACCAAAATGAACAATTCATGCTAATGTCATTCCTGGAAAAGTCAGTGTAAAAACTCTTTTTATATTTTAATGTTAATTAGAGATGATTCTAGGCTCAAGTGATTATAATCAAGCTTCTCACCCATATGAATGTCTGGCAAGACACTCAAAAGCATGTGGAATATGGGACAATTGGGGGGGGCAATTTTTAAATGTGTGAGCCTGACATCTTTTCCTCCAAATGCCTGAGGACTCCCTAGTTTTTGGACAACCAAAAACTCCCCACAGATTCCAAAAATGACCCCTAGGGGGCAGTATCTCTTACTTTGTGAACCATTGTCCTAGATCAACCCTCTGTTATAAAAAAAGCAAATGGATAAGGTTAAATTTTTAAATTGCAGCTCTGTGATTGCATTTCTAAGAGAAACTCAACTTACACATTCCTGGTACAGGATGTGATGTGACCTCATTCCAAGGTTGAGCCCTAGAGAAGTTAGTAACAATAGTACTGACCTATTTATGTAGGGCTCTCCATTTTGCCAAGCGCTTTCAGAGGTGCTATCTCCTTAGTCACAAGAACCCCCTAAGCAGATTGTTATTCTCCACACTGAGAGACGAAGAGGCACGGAGAGAGAGATTATCATGCCCCACAGATCAGGGCTGTTGGTTGTCATGGAACTGTCTCAGCAGGACTTTGAATAGCGGCATGCCTGCAAACAATTCATGATGGGCATTTACTGGCCAGTGCCTGCATACAGAACAGTTGCTTCAACCTGTCATTTTACACGTGAGGAACCTGAGGCTTAAAGAGGGAGATGGGTTGTGTGATGGATGAGTGAGGAATCACTTGCCCCCTCCCTGATGACAGCCAGCCATCTGTGTGAGGGGATGGCCAAAGTGGTAAAGTCCTGCTAATCCCTCAAAGTCACATAAATGGGCCCAGAAATGGAGAAGGATGGCTTGGAATCCAGGCCTGAACCAAGGACATTATAAATATTCCCTCCTCAACATCTGGGAATGCCAGGGACTCCTGATTCCTCTAAACCCCCTCCCTGCCTCATCCATTCCTAGTCTTCATCCTATTCAAATGGATCCCGAGCCCAGGCAATCAGACGAGAGGTCCTGTTCATCCGTGGGTGTGCATGAAGTGTTACCTGGCCTGACCTTCAGGAGCCCCCAGGCAACATAGGAGGTACAAGGGGGTTCCAAATGGCAGATCTGAGTACAGATCCAGCTGCACCCCCAAAACTGCCTGATCATCGGGCTCAGCTGGGGACAGAGAGCAGGGATGAAAGCAGCCTGGGGCAAGGAACGATGACTCCTTAACTCTCAGCTTTCAAGTTTGGGTAACTCTGGGCTCATGGTACCCTATAAGACAAGTACCCTCAAGGGAGGTGCCCTTTCCCCAGCCAGCAGAGCTTTGGGTCCCCTTAAGACTCACTTCTCCTGGTCACAGTGGAAGGAGAAGGTGGCTGAATCCCCTCTCCCAGGGGACACATGCTACTCCCTGAGCTCTGAGCCAGGGTTGCTATCTTGGGTAAAGGTTTTCAAAACTCCAGGAGGCCTTGGAGATCCACCACCTCATCATAAGCATGACAATCTCTCAGCAGAGAGATGAGGGAGGATGGCTGCCCCATGATAAAGCAGTACGTTCTTAAATTTCCCACTTAAAGGAAGGAAGGGAGGGAGGGAGAGAGAGAAGGAGAGAGAAAAAAAATGAAAGAGAGAGAGAGGAAGGAAGGAAGGAGGGTAGGAAGGAAGGTAGCCGCATTTGGGGATTGCGTGTGTGTGCGTGTGCGTGCGCGTGCGTGCGTGCGTGCGTGTGTATTTTTTTTTGATGCATTTGTTCTTAGTAGCAGCTGTCACCAAGTAAGCACCTACCATGTGCCAGGCATCGTATTCTGCTTTACACACAGGATCTGATTTAACCATCACAAATCCCTTTAGTAATAGCTACTATTACTATTCCCGTCTTGCAGGTTAGCAAACTGTAGGTCAGAGAAGTTGAATAACTCATCCTAACGTAGAAAGCAAAAAAATAGCATATTCAAAATTTGAACCCTTGGCTGTCTGGCTCCCAAGGGTATACCCATTTCACTAGCTGCTCTGCTGTCCTACCTAGTCCTCCTTCCAGCCTTGCGGCAGATTCTTATCACTGTCCGCCGCAGGACAGATGGAGCCCTGAGCCTCAGTAAAGCTGATGATGTTACTGTCTGTAGAAGCAGGGAGAAGGCAGCCATTGTCTCATCCATTTGTTAAGGGGCAGTGTTGAGCTTAAGAACAGAGGCCCAGGAAGAAGGAAGGAATTCAAATCGAGGCTTGGATTCTCGCTAGCTGGGTGACCTGGGACCGCTACTCACCTGTTTTAGCTTCAACCCCTTAAAATGGGGAGGAATATCTAGTCTGAGGGCAATTGTGAGGAGCGTACAAGATAATGTGTGTGAGCTGTTGAGCACAGGACAAGCGTCATTACCAAATCTCCTCTGCCTCTGGCTCAGAGGTTCACATTTTGTTCAGATGCGCAATAAATTATTCTAGCTAATTAGGCAGACCAGTGCTTCTGAACCTGGTTGATGTCAGAATTACCAACAAAAGTATAAAAGCTTGGGCCCCACCGCAGGAGGGGCCCACTGGCTTCTCTCCCCAAATCAAGGTCTGTATGGCCTGGTAGTGAGTCAGTGACACTCAGTGTCCCATGGAGCCTGTCTTTCCAGAGGCTAGGGAACCCAGGATGGGGCTGGAGAACAGGATGCCAGGGTTTCTGCTCTGGATTTGCCCCCTTGTTACTCACTGGTGGCCCAGGGCCAGTGAGTCTTCAAGCCTCAGTTTGCTCATGGCCCATAGACAGTTGGGGAAATAGGAGTGGCCTGTTTGGACTCTGATTCCTTAGGGCTATATCCCTGGCACTTGACAGCCAGAGAGCAGGGGCGTGGTTACATGAAAAAATACTGCATAATTGTGCTTTCCCATCACCATCTCACAGTGATAGGAAATAAACTCCAGCATCTACTTTGGCCTGTAATGTCCTCTGTTCTCGGTCCCTAGCCTTTGCTTCACGGTTATGTTATATGCCACCTTGCTTTCTGGCCTTCTTGCTGTTCCCTGAATGCTCCAAGTTTGTTCCCACTTCAGTTTTTACACTTATGTGCATGGCTTGGAATGTTTTTGCAGTGGATGACCACAAGTCTGTTTCCTTCCTTTTATTCAGGGCTCAGCTTACATGTCACCTGCTCAGAGACGAGTTTGCGGATCAGTCACTAAACCTAAAGTATCATCCCAAGCACTGGAACACACCACCCTACAGAATATCGTTGCATTTGAGCATTCACTGTAGCTGTTTTTCCTTTTTTAAATTTACTTAATATGTTGCCTGTTTCCCTTTCAGTAGGATGGAAGCGTCATGAAAGCACATTCTTGGTTGCCTTGTTTCCTGCTGTGTCCCTTGTGCCTGAAAAGCATTCCTTGTATGTTTGTGGAGTAAATAAGCTAATGAAATGACCCTAGCCTGAATTGTGATTTATTTTCTTGGTCAGAGGACACCCCAGATTCTGAGAGGGGGAAGTGACTGTCCCAAAAGCATTCCAGGCCTTTTGTCTTCTTTTTCCAGGCCCTTCCCGTAAAACCTGGCTGACACACAAACTGAGGTGGGGTGAGGCTCCTAGGTGTGATGAAAGCTTGGAGTTGCCCCATGAATGGTGCGGCTAAGACTGATGTGGAGGTGAGAAGGCGGAAAGGCGGAGCACACAAAGGGAGAGGCAGGTTGGGACAGGAGAGCAGGGTGTGCATCTGGCGGCAGGTAGGGGAAAGGGGTGACTTGGCTGTGTGTCAGGAAGTGTTCCCTCCACCCTCCCCTGGGGAGAGCCCTGACCTCAAAGTGGTTTTGTTTGGGGGAAGGAGGTGGTCAGGCAGTTGCTGAGGGAGAACAAAGGTGTGGCCTGGGTGGTCACCATCCACTGAGGTACTAGTGATCACCCAAAAGAATAATCCCACGGTGGCACTTGGCCAAATAGGTGACAGGTGAGCTTCCGCCCGAAACCAGTCCAACTGACAACATATAGCCTCAGACCTGGCAGGAAGGGAAAGAAGAGAAGCCTCAAGGGAATGGAGTAGTCAAGGTAGAATGCTTAGTGATAATAAGATAATAGGTCACATTTATTGAGAGCTTATAATATGCCTGGCACTGTACTAATTGCTTTCTTATATGAGTTTCCTCATTCAATCTTCAAAAAGCTCTCTACAGAGGAGGCCCTATCATTACTGTTATTTCCATTTGAGAGATTTGGAAACTGAGGCTCAGTGAAATTAAATATCTTGTTCAAGGTCACTCAATATGTAGCAAGGTCTGGGGCGCCTGGGTGGCTCAGTCGGTTAAGCGACTGCCTTCAGCTCAGGTCATGATCCCAGGCTCCTGGGATTGAGTCCCACATCGGGCTCCTTGCTCTGCGGGGAGCCTGCTTCTCCCTCTCCAACTCCCCCTGCTTGTGTTCCCTCTCTCGCTGTCTCTCTCTCTCTGTGTCAAATAAATAAATAAAATCTTAAAAAAAATAAGCAAGGTCTGGATTCCAACTTAGATATGTAGTAACCTAGGCCTGGGAAGGGTTGCTAGGAGCAAGTCAAGAGGGCAGACCCCTGCAAAAGTGGGGATGGAGAGAGACAGTGGGATAGCCTGTGTATAAATAGGAGGCCTGTTTTTATCTCTACACATGGGCTGAATCAGGCAAGCAACTCTATTTGGCACAATTTGAGGGCTCTGAATGCCAACCCAGCCCTGTGTCATATAACTCCCTCCCCAGAACGTCTCTGGGAGCTGAAATATCTACTGGGAGAGTCATTTCTTTGGGTCAGGACATTGACAGCAGAAGAGTCCTGTAAAAATACATAGGTTGGAGGAGAAACACATCAATCTCCTGGCACCTGTTGAACATAGCAACCTAGGCTAGCCAGCTGGCTCCCATGGGAGAGGATCTCAGTTTCCACGTTGGGGAAGAAGGTGGGGTTCCAAGACAAGGAATAGTATGAGGCTTGTTGCACAACCACTGTCTCTCCGATCCCAGAAGCCTGGGAATTATAATCCATAGTTCAAAAATCTTAATGAAGACTATGTCCCCTGGGAGAAAGATGGAGGGAAGCCACTCCAGCAGCTGGAAGAATACTAACTTCCTTTGCTTTTGCTGGATTGATACCAAGTGCCTGCAACTGCAACTCTGGTTACTTTGGGCTCATGAAACCTGCTGGCATTCATGTGTCTAATTTTTTTTTATGTGCCTAATTTTTAAATGATATATGAATTAATTATGATTTACTATTTGCTGTGTTGCTAGGCGAAGAAGCGAGTGTTACCCTTCAGAAGGTGACATGGGTGCAGATCCCCGGTGTGGAGCAGGGATGGCTGGAGGGACCAGGCCTGGAACCGGGGAAGGAGCGAGGGGTGTCCAAGGGCAGAGCTCAGCTCAGCAGTCTCAAGGCTGCAGCACGACAAGCGTTTGGGGAAAGGTAGGAACTAGTCCCCGCCACCTGCCGGTCAGCAGCCCTTCCCACAGTCAGGCGGCGGCGACCCTGGCCTGGTCCCAAAATATGTGAGCGCCGCCCCCTACTCCCGCCCCCTTTCCCCGCCGCGCCCGCGGGTGCCCGGGCGGCCTGACTCTGGTCGCCGCCGCCGGGGTCCGGGCTGCCGACACCCCCTCCCCGGGACCGCCGAGCTTCGCGCCTCGCCCGGGGGCCCTCGGGGAGCCTTTCCCCGCCGCGCCCGCCGTATCGCTCCCGGAATCTCAGCGAGTTTCCAGTTTCTCCCCACCTCGGGAGGGAACCAAGAAGCAGGAGGAGTTCAGGTAACACTCCGGGGCCGCAGAGATTTTCCCGAAACAAAGAAACGGATAGACAACTCTCTGTCCTCCTTGTCCCCCTCAAAGAAAAGGCTCCCCTGCTCCCCAGCCCCGGGCCGCAGGAGGCAGGTGGTCCAGGAGCCGACTCTGGCCGAGGGGGCCGACCCCGAGGCACCCTCTGCTCCGACCAATGAGCCAGGGACTCGGAGCAACGTGCCCGGGCCGCGCGAAGCCATCGCAGTGGCCCGGGAGCCTCCGAGCGGCGCACCAAGGGGTCCCAGGCGCGCCACACCCTCCAGCCCCACCGAGGGCCCTTTGCCCGGCCCGGCCCGGAGCGTCCCGCCGGCGGAAGGACGCACCTGCTGCGCTCGCGCTGCTCACGCCCGGCCTCACGTCCAGCCGCCACCACCCAGCGCGGGGGGCGCTTGGGTTGTCCCCCGGCGCCCAGATCCTTCCTTTCGCGCCCGGGACCCGCACCCCAGACTCGGCACGGAGAACCGGCAGCGCGCGGCTCACCTGCCGGGCTCCGGGGCCCGGCGCTCTCCGCCCCTTGCCCTTCCTCTTCTTCCTCCACCTCCTCCGCCTCCTGCGGAGCTCGTCTTCCCCTGCCCGGCGCCCAACTCCCCGACACTCCCCGGCTCTCGCTTTAATCCCGGGAGGCGGTGTCCAGTGCCCAGGGCGACACCCCTAAACGCGGTCCCGGGTCACCTCCGGCAGGGGGAGGGGACTGGCCGGTGCGGCGGCCCCGCGCGGGGCGGGTCCGGGCAGGGGTGACGGGAGGAGGAGTTTCCCCCAGGGAAAGCCCGAGAAGCGCTCCTGACTCAGGCCGGCTAGGGGGACCCCTTGAAGCTCCCGGCTTCGTTCCCCACCCACCCCCCACCCCCCCGGGCAGTGTAGGGCCGGTAGGAGCGTGTCTCCCTCCCCTCCTCCCCTCGACGGCTCCTGTTGTGAGCGCTTCGAATTGGGATTAAGGAAGGGAATTCTGGGGAGATTGGGTCCCCGCGTGAGCCCCAGGAGCTGCTGCTCCCCCTGAGCTCCTGGACCCGAGAGCCAGCCCCTGAGGACCCCTGGCCCAGGCACCAGCGCCAAGGACACAGGGCTGTGCGCCGAGGACCCTCCAGCCTGCCTGGGCCAGCCTTTCTTTGCCTTCAGCTTCCAAGTCCCCCCACCCCACCCTCCCGACGCCCCCAGGAGTGGCGAGAGGCCTTCCCACGCACCGCAGGCAAGGGACGGGGGAGAGGAAAGAGAGTGAGATAAACCTTAGTCCAAAAGGCCTGTCTTTTCCCTGTCCTTCAGAAGCTCTTTCCAGTGCTGTTTGCAAAACACAAAGCAACCTGGATTGCTCTCCAATAAAATGGAAGACGAAAACCCAATTCATTCCAAATCACATGCCTCTTTGGCCTGGGAGCTGGACTTTCCTAGTAAATTCTTCCCTCCCACACTGTCTTTGGGCTCCCACACTTAGATCCACAAAGGGGACCATCCTGAATATGCCAGGACCCACCCATCTCTAGTACTCCACGGGTGTCCAGGTCGTCCCAAGTAGAAGACATTCCAGGACCGGGTACAGCAGATAGGTCAGACTGTGTCCTCCTGGCAAGTCACTTATTTCTGTGTAGTGGCTTGGAGCTGTCTAGGAATGACACCATTGTTCCACCAAACCCCTGATGTCCACATTCATACCAGGTGGCTTGTGTGTCTCTATATCCAGCCCTCTTCTGCGGGTTACTCTCTCAACGTGCATTTCCCCTTCTCTTGACAGCTTCATGGAATTTTTGTTGGAGTATATACACCTCCCTGGAGCCGGCTATCAGCCTGGGTAGCCCACTTGACCTCAGCGCTAGGGGTGGGCATGCAGCCAGTCTCTGGCTCAGCAGCTTAATCTCATTCCCTGCCAGAATTGCCACTTCAGGGATGAACACACAACCCACTTATGACCAGTGAGATGTGGGGCTTAGGGAAGGAGGTTTGGGGGTTTTCGCACTCTTTTAAGGGAACTTGCAGAGACCCACTTCCTTGTGCTTGGAGGGAGAAGCGAGTAGTCTCAGGAATTGTTGATCACCGTCTTTCCATCACCAGGAAGCTAGCTGCAGATAAAGAAAGCTCCTCCATCAAAAATGACAGCATAGAGAACACTAGAAACCAGTTCTTCCTGGCATCATTGAACCACTGAATCAAATCGACTCTGAAGTCAAGCCCACATTACCACTTCGTTCATGAATACAAGTGGAAAATCAGAATTGCTTACCAAGGGCAGTAGCTGTGATACAATGAAAATAAAATACTATTATTATATGTTAAAAATCGGCAACAGAGTTCTGTTCATATGGCAGAGTAGATATCCTGAAATAATGCTCACACTACAAAACAACCAACAAGGCTGGCTAGAGTGTATATTATTAATGTCCTTTAAAATTACAGCCGAATGTGCAAGAAAACTTGGGAAATCCTCAGCAACAAAACTGAAATGGGAGTATGTATCTGGGGAAGTGAAGAAGGCATCGTAGTGGCAGGCCCAGAGCCCGAGATGGAACTGGATCTCACGACCCTGAGATCATGACCTGAGCCAAAACCAAGAGCCGGACACCAACTGCGCCACCCAGGCGCCCCTAGAAGCAAGGATTTTTAAAGATAACTTAGCAGAGGGCTGCCTGGGTGGCGCAGTCGTGAAGCGTCTGCCTTCGGCTCAGGTCATGATCCCAGGGTCTTGGGATAGAGCCCTGTGTTGGGCTCCCTGCTCAGTGGGGAGTCTGGTTCTCCCCCCCGCCAGCTCATGCTCGCACGCGCTCTCTCTCTCTCTCTCACATGCTCTCTCTCTTAAAAAACCTTAAAAAAAAGAAGAAGAAATAAAGTGTATACTTAAAAAACCTTAAAAAAAAGAAGAAGAAATAAAGTGTATATTGATTCTGTCCAACCTAAAGAAGAAAAAATGGAGTAAGTGGGAAAGAACTCAATGCAGCCAAACTAAATGAAGCAAAGAATGCTGAGGGGGGAAAAGGAGTAAGACTCAACCCAGAAAAAACGGGACAAAAAGAAAGCGCAAAATATACGTGGAGAAGTGTATGCAAAATACATCAGCGATCATAATACATGTAAATACTCTAAACTGTCCAGTTAATATGAATGGATTAAAAAATACATAGATTATCAGATTGTCTAGTTTTTAAAGACAATCATACGCTATGCTATTTATGAGACATATGTAGAATGAACATATGTAAAAGAAAGCTGGTATGGCTACATTAATAATGGACAAAATAGACCTGGGAATAAAGACCTGGCTATATATTATTATTATTATTACAAGATCTTTACAAATCCACCACCTTCTCTCTTGGCCATCAAAGGTCAAATACAACAAATAAACATCAGTGAAAATACAGAACATGTGAACAACACTGACGTAGTTTTGGAATATAGGTGTGGTTCGGTGGGGTGAGGTCCGGAGCCGACGACCAAGAAAGACTTCTTGAGAGGTCTTTGGTGCAAAATGGTAGTTTATTAAAGCCAGGGGACAGGACCGGTGGGCAGAAAGAGTTGCTGCACCGGGGTTGTGAGTGGTGGCTTTTTTTTTCTTTTGGGTTTGGGGAGGTGAGGAAAAGGGAGATTTCAAAAGGATTTTTCTTTTCTTTTTTTTGAGATTTTATTTATTTATTTGAGAGAGAATGAGATGGAGAAAGAGAGCATGAGAGGGGGGAGGGTGAGAGGGAGAAGCAGACTCCCCGCTGAGCAGGGAGCCTGATGCGGGACTCGATCCTGGAACTCCAGGATCATGACCTGAGCCGAAGGCAGTCGCTTAACCAACTGAGCCACCCAGGCGCCCCATAACCATTACGACCTGCGGGCGGCGTGCGGCTGGCGGGCCTGACCGAGACGCCAGGGGCTTGGGCGGGCGGGCGGACGGACAGAGTGAGCAGACAGACGCCCAGCGGCCGCCGGCTCCACGCAGGTCCCAGCTAGGCTTGCACCCAGAGGCCGGCAGCAGACCGAAAGCGGCCGAATCTCCTGCGCTCCGCCCGCCCCGGCTTCCGTGCCAGCGCCCGGTGGCCACCGCCTCCGAAGTGATTGCTGCCTCGGCGCCTCCGCCGGGTCCAGGACCATGAAGCTGCTGCCGTCGGTGGTGCTGAAGCTTTTTCTGGCTGCAGGTGATGAGGGCTGACGACGCCCGCGGAGGTCGGGGGTGGGGGTGGGGGGCACAGGGGAAGGTCGCTGCAGCGACCCCAGCGCGGGCCACTTGGTGGGGCCCGTGCTCACTGGGTGCGGGCGGGCGCCAGCACTGGTGCGTGGCGACCGGGGGTCTGGAGAGGGGGTCTGATGCGGCCTCGCCCCTCACCCGCAGCGCTCTCGGCGTTGGTGACTGGCGAGAGCCTGGAGCGGCTTCGGAGAGGGCTGGCAGCTGGAACCGGCAACCTGGACTCTCCCACCGAATCTACGGACCAGCTACTGGCCCCGGAAGGCGGCCGGGGCAGGGAAGTCCTGAACTTAGAAGAGACAGACCTGGACCTTTTAAGAGGTGGGTGTGAGGGCTGCCCATCCTCGACCCCGCGGTGGGCAATTGAAGAATAAGTGGATTGAGGATTCATGCCGTTTGGGCACACTTGCGGGTTGGGCGTATTCGTGGAGGACTTCAAGGAAGAGCTGCTGAGCCTGACAAGCTTACTCGGGGATCCTGAAATGTGGGTCCCACTGTCTTTCTTGCTGTTGAGTCTCACATGTCGAGCTGCTGCCCTTCTGGGTAGTTTAGAGCCTAGGGAGAAGGCAAGGTGTCTGGGGTCTGGTACATTCCCCTGGGGTAAGCTGGAGTAAGGATCAAGGAATGGTTAGGATGCTTTCCATATTGTTTCTGTATAACAATGGGTGCAAGTCTTAATTCCTCTATCAAATGACCATTATGTATAAAATGACAGATGTGGAGAGCCTAGGAACATAGTAGGTGTGCAGTCTTCTCCATCCACCTGTCTCCAGGTTGGAGAAACAGAGGGGAATGAGGAACTCTTGGTTCCCCAGGTGAGGCCAGCACCTCCTGGGGAGCCTATGAGCGGTGGGCACAGTGTCCCTAGGGAGGTATAATGAAATGCCATGTGTCTACACATCCCACCCAAAGCCTAGAGACTTCTGAGCACCCTGAGTCCCTGAGAGAGACTCTGAGCGCTGAAGGGCCAGGTGGGATCCTCCAACCAGCAGATGTGGCTGTGGCTGAGTACAGGCACAGGGCAGAGTCCAGAGCCTCCAGCAGTGCCCACTTGCCTGCCTCCGGCCACCTGCCGTGATTCTTGAGGGTGGAGCAGGGACTGAGCCCTGGAGCGCCAGAATGACTAATTTGGTTGGAAAGATACCCACCTGTTCTAGCCCCGCCTGCTCTTCAGCCACGTTCCCCCCTCCTTACGCAGAGCTTCCCTTAGGTGCTGTCTCTGCTTCCTATAAATCAAAGGTCTGCTCCCAAGCCGAGCCTGCGCTGCCACCCTTCATCCTCTCCCCGTAGCCTCCTTGGGTCACCCCTGGCCGGAACAACCTGGATTCTCGTAGCCCTCTCCTCCTAGGCTGGGCAGAGCTGGGCTGTGACTCACCCTCCACCCACACGGCTGTTCCTCATACCTCTGCAGACCTGACTCACTGCTCCCTCTCCCTGGCAGGAGCCTTGCTGTCACCCTGTCACTCTCTTCCTCCCCTCTCTGGTTGGCTTGCCTCTCCGGCCACAGTTTCACTACAGCTCTGGTCACTCCGAGCATTGGCCTCACCTGAGTTCTGAAGGGACTTGTGTCTACACCAGAGGAAACGGGACTGTGGGACTACTAGCACCTGCCTTTCTTCCCTTCTCTTGGCTTTGCTGGGTGAAAGCTGTTTTTCAGATCTGGGGATCCTATCATCTAAAACGAATAACCATTACCATTTTTTTTTATTAAAAGATTTTATTTATTTATTTGACAGAGAGAGAGAGAGCACAGGTAGGCAGAGCAGCAGGCAGAGGGAGAGTGAGAAGCAGACTCCCCACTGAGCAAGGAGCCCAATGTGGGACTCGATCCCAGGATCCTGGGATCATGACCCGAGCCAAAGGCAGACGCTTAACGACTGAGCCACCCAGGCGCCCCATAACCATTACCATTTATTAAGTACCTACTGCGTTCTAGGCACTCATTATGCTATTGTGGATTGATTAATCCTGTAACAACCTCTGAGATGGAACTTCTGCTAGCTACTACTTGTTGAGAACCCCAAGGTTCAGAGAGATTAAGCTACTTGCCCAAAATCAGAGGGCTAAAGTTGCAGCACAGGTCTGCTGACTTCAGAGCCCATTCATTGTCTCATTCCTGGTTCAACATCCTGGGTGCTCTAGACTTGTCCAGGGGAAGGGACAGGGGTGCGTGAGCAGTTTGGTATATTGGGAAAGCACTGGATATGGAATCCAGAGACCACATTTCTGACCTCAACCCTGCATGACCTTTACCAAATCACTGCCTTTCGGGACCTCAAGTTTTTTATCTGAAAATGGAAAGCCATGATATTCTTTCAAGTCACTTCCTGCTTAAGGATGCTGGGTCTCCAGTCCAATGTATGATGCTCACCCTAGCACCAGACACATGGCTACAGCCATGAGCAACAGGCATGTTTTTTCTGCTGGGAGCAGGGGAGAGAAGACTGGCGTCAGACCCCTGATGGGCTAATGGGCGTAGCCCACGGTCAGTCCCAGTTGGATGTCTATGTGAGGCTGTTTTTCCCCCCTTTGAAGTGTGGAAAGAATGGGGGGAGTCATCATTGTTCCAGTTCCTTCTGGATAGTTCCTTACTTTCCATCTTTCACCCCCTTGTACACACTATGCTCATCCATCCTAGAGAGCTATAAACAGGAAATTTTGGGGGGTAAATGTAATAGACCTTTGAGAGACGTGGTGAGCTGCTAAGGACACAGAGCCAGGTAAATATTCTGCTTGAAGTCAAAAAAGCAAGGACCTGACCGGGGATGGCCTGCTTGCGGTCCCCAAGCCTGGCTCTGGCCTGGGCTCATGGTACCCTGGTGCTAATGGGTGTGTCAGAGGGGGCCATCTGGATGTGGACACTGTTGTTATTTTAGGAGCCCTCCCCCCGCAAGAAAAACCCTCCAAGTACCTTCTCCAGAAGCAATTTTTATCTCTGACACTGTCTTCCTGCAAGTGGGTCACTGAGTGCAGCATCAGGAAATGAGGTTGATTTAAGGCCAAAATAGCACCAAGTGGGCGTGGGGGAGTAGATGGGGATGGACAGTAGGGTGGGGGGAGGTTGGTAGAACTGCCCAGTCAGCGGCAGTTACTCAACAGAAGCTAGCATTGTTTGAATGGAGCTCTTAAACGGAGTCTGAGAAATGCTTTCCTTGGGACCCCTCTAGCCTCTGTTTCCTCCACTGCTTTCTGGTGGTTCGGCCCAGTCTTCCTTTAGCCCCGGGGAAGCACTGAGCCTGGGGGCCTTCCCGAGTCCTCTGACTTCAGGTGGGATCAAAGAGGACGTATTCCTTCCAAACACGATGCTGTTCTGAGTCTTTCCCCCAGGAGAGTCAAAGACTTAACAGGGTCTTTCTCTCCTGCAGCTGCTTTCTCCTCCAAGCCACAGGCTCTGGCCACACCCGGCAAGGAGGAGCGTGGGAAAAAAAAGAAGAAAGGCAAGGGGTTAGGGAGGAAGAGAGACCCATGTCTTCGGAAATACAAGGACTTCTGCATCCACGGAGAATGCAAATATGTGAAGGAGCTCCGGGCTCCATCCTGCATGTAAGTGTCCCTTCCCTGGGCTGACTCTGCTCAGCACACTCTTTGTCAGTCACGTGGCTGTTCCTCGTTGTCACTGTTCCTTGAATTCATAATTCTACCCAGTTTCTTCTCAATCTTTAGGCGGAAGTTGGGAGGAGGGGAAATATTTTTAGTCAGCGGAAGGGGCTCTCCCCCGCATGGGATGTAATTTCCTGTGGTGTAGGTTTGTGACGCTCTTTTATCCTTGGGGACATTTCCTGCTTGCTCAGACATGAACATGGGGCTAGGAGAGCTGTTACCTGCAGGCAGGTCCTTCAGTCCTACCTCATGCCCTACTCCAGATGGGAGAAGCCGGTAGGACACGTGGCAGAGTAGGCTTCCGGGGTGGAGCAGAACTCCTGGGGCCTCCTTACCCAAGCCCTGCAGGCAGGTATGAGGTGCATTTGGACTCACACCATGCAAATGTGTGTGCTCAGACATATGTGTGCTCGTATGAGAGCACATTGCGGGTTGATTCAAAGGCATGGCAGGACTAACCAGAAAGGACTCATCATGGAAGCAGGGAGAAGCCCCTTTGTCTCTTCTTCCTCATCCCAGCAAGGGCCAGGACGTGGGGGAACATAGTGGGTATTGGCCTTTGGCCATGGGATTGGGAGAACACTTCCTTTGTGCAAGAGTAACAGGAAATGGAACCCAACCCAGTAGGCTTCAGCCCCTGGTCAGGCAGCACCACCCTTGCCCCGGGTGGAGGGGCCGTGGGCTCCCCAGCTACTCTGCTAGGCCAAGCCCAGCAGACGGCTGCCTGGGCACCCCCTCGGGGATGATGGCACAGCCATGCTCTCTGGCAGGCATAATGTCGCCACTGTGCCTGAGGCCAACACCCACATTCGACCACAAACATCTACTCTCTTCCTCTGGGCACAGGGTCCCTACAGAGAGACAGGCTTTGTGACCTGGGAGACTCTGGACAGGGCCAGGAGACTATTAGGTGGGCGCCTCTCAACCTGTCCAGAAGGCTGGCTGCCTGGCATCTCTTCTACTGTGATTGGTACCGATCCCTTGGCTTTTTATTTATTTATTTATTTATTTTTTAAAGATTTTATTTATTCATTTGAGACACAGAGATACAGAGAGAGAGCATGAGCAGGGGAGAGGCAGAGGGAGAAGCAGACCCCCTGCCGAGCAGGGAGCCCGATGTGGGACTTGATCCCGGGACTCCAGGATCATGACCTGAGCCGAAGGCAGTCGCTTAACCAACTGAGCCACCCAGGCGCCCCTTTGCCCAAAGTTCTTAATCCGCATAGCAGCCATAGGGATCCTTTTAAAAGGTAGTCAAGCTACATTACTCTTCTCAAAACTCACCCGATACATTC